CCCCTAACTGCCTCTGCCTGCCTGCCTGATCGCTCCTAACTGCTCTCCCCTGCTGGCCTCTCACCCTCAACTGCCTCTGCCTGCCTGATCACCCCTAACTGCCCTCCCCTGCCGGCCTGATCTCGCCCCCAACTGCCCTCCCCTGTTGGTCTGATCTTGCTCCCAATTGCCCTCCCCTGCAGGCCTGATCTCACCCCCAACTGCCCTCCTTTACCGGCCAATTTGGTTCTGATTGGTCAGTTTCAATGCCAGTCAGCATCAAAAGCTCCGCCTCCTAGGCAGCCATTGGCTCCTTAAATTCACCCAGATTTGGTTCTGATTGGCCAATTTCTATGCCAGTCAGCATCTCTGGGCCTATCAACTTGGGGCCTGATCAGAAAGGCGAGGCTGATCAGCAGCCGGGTTGGAGGCCTGGAGAGAAATGGAGGTATGGTTGTTGGCCAGGACGGGAGAGAAAGAGGCAAGTTCTGATCAATGGCTGCCACAGAGGCTTCAGATCAGACCCTGCCCCTTTCTCTGCAGGCCCCACTCCGGGCCTGATCTGCAGCCCCCTAGGCAGTCAGTGCTGGGTCCAGGCACTCGCAGCAGCCCCAGTTGGTGCTGGGTTGCCATGGCAACCCAGCACTGACTTCCAGTCTGGTTGAGCCTGCAGTTGTTAGGACCCTGGCTCTTTATTATATAGATGCTTTCTTTTATGTGGAAGCAATGAGGTAAGAAAGGAATAATAGCCCTAGCTTGTTTGGCTCAGTGAATAGAGCATCAGCCTGTGGACTGAAGGGTCCCAGGTTAGATTCCAGTCAAGGGCACATGCCCAGGTTGGGGGCTCGATCCCCAGTGGGGGCATGCAGGAGGCAGTCAATTAACGGTTCTTTCTCATCATTGATGTTTTTCTCTCTCCCTCTCCCAAATCAATAAAAATATATTTTTAAAAAAGGAATAATAGGCTCTAGCCAGTTTGGCTGGCTCAGTGGTTAGAGTGTCAGCCCCCGGACTGAAGCGTCTCTGGTTTGATTGCGGTTGCAGGCTTGATCTCTGGCCCTGGTGGGGGCACATGCGGGAAGCAACCAATTGCTGTGTCTCTCCCCCTCCTTTCCACTCTCTCTAAAAAGTAATGGAAAAATGTCCTCGAGTGAGGATTAACAAAAATAAA